CCCCCCCTCCCTAACAACTTTCTCTTGCTTTAAGTGGTAAACGTTGTCATGTTGCTTAGTATTGCTTCTGACCTGAAGAAGAGAGGTTAACTCTCGAAAGCTTGTCTTTTATATATTTTGTTAGTCCAATAAGAAAGGTATCATCTAGGTATATCTATATATATATATACACATAGTTCCCATGTTGTCGTAACGAAAATTCGCATTCAGACCCATTTGGTTGCATTAAACCAAAAAACACATCTGAATGGCCAGAAAAGTCACATGTCCAATTGAGTTTAGTTTTTGAATGAAATTGATGGGATTCGGAAATTCGGATGTGTCCGAATTGCGGAAAATTCGTACAAATTTTGATTCGGAACGAAACGAATCGCACATGTCTGGTATGTTTGTAGAAATTCAGCCAAACAACCATTGTCCAAAAGAAGTAATCCACATTTGCTTATGTCTATAGATCCTAAAAAGGCTGGGGAGGAAATGAGGCAGGTTGTATCTGACTTTCAGCAGCTTCTAATGCAGATTGTGAGAAGTTCACAGTGTGCAGTGAAATCAGAGGAAGCAGTTTCAGTCCAGAAGAGGAGCCGATACAACTGTGCAAGGCTGAAGGTAAGGCTGGAGTTTAGCTTTAAAAGGAAGATTGTGGTTCAGTTTAATGAAAGCGTGTACTCTAGGAATAGTGACAATGCAAAATTATATCAAGGTACTAATTATTATCTGGATGTCTTCCCGGGCTGAGCTAAACCTGGTGCAGCACCGATGTTTAGAGAGAGAGAGAGTGAAATCACTAAATATGATCCAAAGTCTGCAGACAGAATTGTGCACAGCATGTCCCCGTAAAAAGTGGAAGATTACAGCGAACAGCAATGCGCGGAGGGCATATGGCGATGCCTTGTGAAAAGCTATTGCCAGCATTTCATGCAAAGCGTTCCTAAAATAATCATCTGAGCACACAGACCCCTAGAGTGTTCATCAAAAATCACGAGCGGTGAGGATTGTAGCAGCAAGGAAGCAAGGTGGGAGTACAGCCAAGAAAACTAGAGCAGGCATAGCTGAAACAGAACCCTAAATTCTCTCAGGGGCTTCAAAGGTTAATTCACATCTCTTCGGTTGAGGCAGGTCCTCTGAGAAACGTCAGCCTATCAGATTGTCTGTTTTTTTTAATTCACGTTTCAAGATTGCCAGTCCACATCTCTCTCTTTTTTTTTTTTCCAGGAAGACCTTGAGAGGTAGGTCACAGCCTGCAAGCACCTTAGCAGCAGCGTTGATGGGCTTCAAGGCGGATGTCATCTGAGGTTGCATTGTGGATCTGATGCCCAGACTTTGGTCCAGTGACCTAGACAAGCCGGTGCTCAGTTCCTTCTGGCTTTCCCGGATGCTGATTCTGGAGCTGTGGTGAGGATGTTGTCCCTGGAGAAGAATCAGCTGATGGGCAGGTCACATCAGAAACCTGAGGAGCTCTGGTGATCGGGTCTTGAGGTCCCCCACCTTGCAACCTTTGGGCTGAGAGGAACATGTCCTTGTAGTCATGTCCAGGAATTCCTACCCGAAAAACGGGATATCAGAGGCTCTGCACACTCCCATCTTCCAGGTACAACTCCTTGTCTCTTCCAGGAAAACTGTGATGTACTTTAGAAAGGTTCACAGCAGATTTCGGCATAGCTGCCAACACTGGGGCGTTTTGCTTGTCAGCTCTTCCGAAATACTTAGAGGACCAGTGATGACTACATACCCAGATATGACATGTCTCTGTTATTGAACTGTATAGATCATTTTTTTTTTTTCATTTGAAATGCTGATTTATCAATTTACATTTTATCTTGCAACAAAGGGCAACCAGTGCGCACTCCTGATGACTGCTGAGCGCTCCCGGGGGCACAGAGAGTGCACTGAGTACAGGGGTTCAATAGGCAGGAGCACATAGCAAAGTGCTTGTTTTATTACGTGATGAATATGGACGCACTGAGGTTGATTTAATAAAGGAGTTGGCAATGATTAGGGTGAAGAATCACTTCAATTAACCCTATAAAGCGATAAACAGGAATTAGCTTTTTACATGATTGGATACTTGATGTGAATCTTCATTCTATTTTGTGTGAACATGACCAATTTGTTTAGTAAGTCAGCCTCAGTGTGTGTGTGTGTGTGGGGGGCACACATGCCTATAAACTCTGGCCTTACCTGATATCCTGTTTTAGGGAGGCTCTTTCCCTTGCAGTGTCCTATGGGGCCACCCTTGTGTGTGCTAAGTAAGCTGTGTGTGCCTCAACTGGTCACAATGGGACATATGGAAGAATGTGAATATTCAGTCTAGAACCCTGCAGTTGTT